TCGCCGCACGCATCATCGTAATACGTATTATCAAGGTCGAGTTCATTTAACTGAAAGCCTTGTTGATTTGTTTTAAGTGGTGGTGCCGTTCGCATTGTGACGTCACTGGGCCCAGTGTATTGATTTTTATTTAACTGAGGCTTGTAACCAAATTGTTGTGGCTTATAAAAGTTTTGTTGTTGGTTTCCAAATTGTTGTGGGCGCATACCGAATTGTTGTGGGCGCATACCGAATTGTTGAGGTTTATTAAATGTTTGTGGTTGCATTCCGAACTGTTGGGGACGCATATTAAATTGTTGTGGGCGCATATTAAACTGTTGCGGGCTTATACCAAATTGTTGCGGGTGGAAGCCGAATTGTTGGGGGCGGTATCCAAAATTTTGTTGATTATTATTAAATTGAGTTAGTTTTGATTGTGACCCCTGCGGAAGTCCAAAGTTAAATTTCTTAGCGGTTAATTCGGGTTTATAGCCCATAGGTGCCATTGAATTAAAATTATTTGTACCGAATTTAAACGTAGGATTATTATTTGGTAGACTGGGTGGCGTTAGTTTATTACTAGGATTACTATACATATTATTACGTAAGGTATACTGCTCATGGAAGTTGACTTATTCCATGACCACGCTTAAAGCCTCCTCAAGTGTACTGGGCGCTTTTAAGCGAACAATTCGCACCATATTTTCTGGCAAATTATACAAAAAGACATTTAAAGATGTGTTATTATATATAATAATTTTGCTACTCTTTACATTCGGATCGGTTAATCTATTTACTTTCGATATTAAAACACTACGAACGGATTGAATCCTATTACAGAAATCTAAATATGACTCGTTGTTTCCGATACGCAAACCTTCAAGTTCTATTGCTATACATTCTTCACTCCTAGGGTCTCCAAAATGTTGAATTAGCAGTTCTCTAAAATCTTCCCACGAATTAATGTCCTCGCGCTCGCTAAAGAGCGCTGCAGCGTCGCCTACGAGTCTACTTGTTATCGCGTACATTACGTATAAATTTTGTTCATCGGATCCCCTATATTTATTTAATATATACTCACATTTGCGAATAAAAAGATTTAATTGGTGCTTATCACCGTTGAATATCGGTACAATTTTGAGCATTTCACTAGGAATCATCTTAATTTGCACTTGATCTTCCATTTTGTAGAACTTTATTTTATAAAATACGGCAATAAAATAATATAATTAATACAAGACTTCAAATTCACAATCAAAAACACAGTCAAAATAAAAGTAAAATAATTAATAAGTAAAATACAAAATATGAAATAAATAAGTCCTCAATAAAAATTTAATCAACGAACATACACTACAATTATAATTTGTAATAGTTATAATCGCTTTGTTCCCACAGTGCAAGCTCTTATCGCGTCGTTATTGCATGGACGCGCTTACTTATCTAGTTATTCCTAGTATTTCTTTATGCAGTTAGTTATTAAGTTTAAGTATTCTTAAATATAAGTTTCACAGATTTTTATGTAAAACCAGATAACGTTATATCGCAAGAGATCTAATTGCAAAATAACAAAACTATATAATATGACAAGGAAAGGAAGGTGAAAATTTGGACTCACCAGCCGGCCTTCGTCATCTTCAGCTGCTCTCCACTTGACAAATTTATATTGGTTCGCAGGATCGCCTCGCGGCACGAACGCGGTAAACGATTTTATACGAATTTATTTCGCGGACGGCGCAAGCAAATGGCGATCCTACCGGCTGCGCCAGGCAAGTTAACGGAAGCGGTGGAGGCGTTTTTAAAAACTAAAATAAAACTAAGAGATGTCCGTACAGAAGCTCATGTACTTCAACAATGGCAAACTTATTCTAATACATCTTTCATGCAGACTTTATTACATTTGCTTACTCAAGTGACACGATATAGGCCACACACAGGTTGCAAAGTCAGCAATAGTATTTATGCACGTACTTGTATCACTCTGTGTGGGGTCGAATCCATGACTAGATAGGGGTATATAACGGCTAGCGGAAGCTTTAGAAAGCATGATTAGAGTTAGACCAGCCGCCGCGAAGCAGACGCAGGACTTGCCTATTTTTAACGGTTCGGCCGCGGAATGGTTAGCGTTTAAAGCCGCGATGGAAGAATCCACGCGTTTATATGGATTCACAAATACGGAAAATATGGCAAGGTTAAGGAACTGTTTACGCGGTGAGGCTAGAGTAGTAGTATCGGCGCTGCTGTTTACCGCGAAGGATCCGGCAGACATTATGCGGACATTGGAGCAGTGTTTTGGCCGCCCGGAGGTAATTATAGATCGTGTGTTAGAGGAATTAAAACGCCTTCTGCGCCCGGGTCAAACCGCCCAGGAATTAAATTCGTTCGCTATTAAATTACAGAATATAGTGTGCATTATGCAGAACGTCGACGGCAAAGGATATTTACGTAATCCGATGCTGACTAGGAAGGTTACTAGCAAACTTAGCCCTCACTTACGGTCGCGTTGGTGTGATTATGCGGAGCACTACGGAAGTGCGGACGAACCGGACATCGTCACGCTATCTCGGTTCATGATAAGAGAGGCTGACCGAGCGTTAAGTCACGCCTATACGTCCGTAACGCCGACTAAGGAATCGCCCGTAAGACGAGAGACGCCGCCGTCGAATAGAATAGTGTCGACACGCCGCGTAGAGGATAGGGCCCGCGACGTAAAGACGTTCACCGCCCAGGAGGACAACGGTAGTGCCTCATGTATGTGTTGTGGGGGTGAACACCCAATCGCAAAATGTAGGAAGCTAGAGCAAATGGGTTTGGACGACCGGTGGAAGTGGGTTAGGGAAGACGGGGTGTGTTTTAAGTGCTTAAGCAGCAAACACCGACGCATACGCTGCAAAGCTAGGAAGTGCGGCGTCGACGGCTGCAACGCCCCCCACCACGCTCTCCTTCACACCCGCAAGGTCCGCACGCCTGAAGCGTCGGTTAAGCCGGACGAAACCGTGCTCGTCGCGTCGAGTGTTAGCAGTAGTGCGTCCGTACTGTTGAAAGTGTGCCCCATAACCGTGCGCGGACCGCGCGGCAAGGAAGTTAATACGTATGCGCTACTTGACGAAGGCTCTACCATATCGTTAATCGACGACGACTTAGCTCGCGAGTTAGGACCGGTAAAACCGCTCAATGTTAGAGGCGTAAATAATAGTCAACGCGAGGCCAATAGTAGGTTAGTTAATATAGGGATACGTGGCAAGACGCGCAGCGAGATGTATAATATAAGCGCGCGAACGATAACCGATTTAAAGATAGGCTCGCAGTCTGTAAGTAGGGAGTGCTTACGGTTAAAGCACTTACGTGACTTACCGAGTTCGGTGTGTTACGACGACGCGAAGCCGAGATTGTTATTAGGCGCCGACAATTGGCATTTAATAATTACCCGTAGTTTGAGAATAGGACGTCGAAGGCAGCCCATAGCTGCACGTACGTTATTAGGATGGGTAATTCAGGGAACCGTGCCGCGGTTAACGTGTAGGGAAGACGGCGAGACCGTATTACACATAGCGAGCACTAGCGGACGGTTAGATAGGGACATCCGAACGTTTGCCAGTCAGGACGAGGAGCTAACGGAACTCCTCAAACGGCAGTATGAGATAGATTCTATAGGTATCTCGCTAAAGAGTAGGCCGCGACGGGAAGAGGAGCGCGCTGTCGACATATTCCAGCACACCGTCAAGAAGGTCGGCGAGCAATACCAAGTTGGACTGCCATGGAAGGACGACAACGTGCGGATGCCACCCAGCTACGAGATGGCAGCTCGAAGACTACGGACGATTGAAAGGAAGATGGACCAGTTGCCGGAGTTTCGTGACGCCTACAGAGCCCAGATAGACAACCTCCTGGCGAAAGGAAACGCAAGGGAAGCCGAGGAGACGGAACGAGAGGATCCCAAGAGCTGGTACCTGCCACACTTCGCAGTACGGAATCCGAACAAGCCGGGGAAGACAATAGTAGTGTTCGACGCGGCAGCACGCGCATCCGGTAGATGTCTTAATGATTATTTACTCGACGGCCCCGACTTATTACGGAACTTACCGGGTATACTGTTTAGGTTTAGAGAGAATGAGATAGCAGTGTCCGCGGATATTAGGGAAATGTTCTTGCGTGTGAAAATCGACCGTCGCGATCAGCCCGCGCAATTGTTTCTTTGGCGAGGAAACGAGCGACACAGCCCACCGCGGGAGTACGTTATGACGTTTATGATTTTCGGCGCGAGGAGCTCGCCGTTTCTCGCACATAGTGTTAGAGATTGTTGTGATTGCAATAATACACGTTCGTTAGCGAGACAACAACTGATTTATTATATGGCATAACTACCTACGTTTACAATAACACAAATACCCACAACATCTCCCCTTATTAATAAAGATACAATATCATCCATCCCCCTGTGCGAACAAAATTAACTAAACATAAACAAAATTTCTTATAGTACTAACGTAATAATAAAATATTTAAAACAATTTAATCAATTTTTATGTTGAGTCGTCGTGCCCGACTACGTGTGAGAGGGTGTGGCCATGATGTGGATGCCTCATTATTATGATCTTTAAACCCATTTTTAGCAATTTTATTTTCGTTTAAACTAGAATTATCGTTACGCTGAGTCACCTTATCAGGGATTTGTTGTAATTTTTTGCATTTTTCTCCCACAAAATTGCCACTCCCTCCGTTTACAGTGATGTCCATATCTTTTTTAATATTTTTAGAATCTGGACTTATGTAAGACTTAATTAAATGACGCCTATTGCGTCGGATTCGTCTTCCTAGCTCATTATGTATTACATATGAACGAGGTGTATCACCTTGATCAATTACAGTAGCGCGAGTCCTTTTCTTACCATCTATACATATTACTTCGTCACCGACATTTAATTTAGGCAATGTTCTACAATGTTTATCATAGTACATTTTTGACTGCTGCTGTTTTTGCAGCATTGTTTTAAATTGAGATGGGTCTGCAACTTGTGGTTTTAGTAATTCTGCACACAGTGGTAATTTACAACGTAATCTGCGACCCATAGTAATTGCGCGGGAGAGTCCAAACCATGTCTCGGAGTATTTCTGTAATTTAATAAAGCAAGTTCAAAGTCACTATTCCCCTTATAAGCTTTAATTAACAAAGACTTAACTGTTTGCACCGCACGTTCACTTTTTCCATTAGCCTGTGGATAGTTTGGTGAGGATGTAATGTGAGTGAAGCCCCAATCTGTACTAAACTGTTTGAACTCGCGACTACTATATTGAGTTCCATTATCACTTATAAGTATTTCAGGTATACCGTGTCGTGAAAATATTTCCTTCATACTGCGTATAACCACTTGTGATGTAATATTTTCTAATTTTTTCACTTCAACAAAACTAGAATAATAATGAACTAAAATAAGATAATATTTCTTCCTATATTCAAATAAATCAGACCCAACCTTAAACCAGGGCAAATCAGGAATTTCTACTGGAATCATGGGTTCTTTAGTAGGTGCGTTTGAGCTCTCCCTGCACACTGCACAACGTTTCACATACATTTCTATGTCACGTGACATGCCTGGCCAAAATATTACTTGTCTTGCGCGTCGCTTGCACCGATCTATACCTAAGTGTCCTTCGTGTACAATATTCAACATATCTGTTCGCAGGGAACGAGGGACTAAAACAACATTATCTCTAAATATGACGTCATCTACCATATATAACTCATTTTTTAAAGACCAATATTTTTTGAGATTTTCTATTACGTTACACTTATCATGAGGCCATCCTAATTTAATGTAATTTAGTAAAGTACACAAATCAAAATCTTTTTTCGTTTCATTTTTTATCAGCGTTAACTTGTTATTTGAAATTGGAATACTGTTTACAATTAATTTTACTTGACATAGAATTTTTTTATCTAATTTATCATCTAATGCTAAGTCGGGAAGCGGCGCGCGAGATAATGCATCTGAAATATACATATATTTTCCTGGTTTATACTTAACTATTAAGTCATAGCCTTGTATTCTAAGCATCATACGTTGTAAGCGGGCTGGGACGGACATTAATGGCATTTTAAAAATACTTTCCAAAGGTTTATGATCTGTTTCTATGACAACATCATTTTTTGCAATAATGTATTGGTGAAATCGTTCACAGGCGAACACAATTGCTAACAACTCCTTTTCCACTTGAGCATACCGGCGTTGCGTATCTGTAAGAGTTCGCGAGGCGTATTCAACCGGCCGACCGCCCTGCAGTAGCACCGCACCGAGTGCATCGCGAGATGCGTCTACCGATAACAAGACTGGCTGTGAAACGTCGTACAACGCTAACACTGGCGCTGTGCAAACCGATTCTTTTAATTTGTCGAATGCCGTCTGCTCACTAAGCTCCCAACGCCAAATACTATCTTTTTTTAACAAATTCGTTAAGGGAAGAGCGCGATCCGAATTGTTATTCGGATTCCGTGTTCGGAATAAATTTCGATAAATAATTAACGGCTCCCAAAAATCTTTCCAAACTTTTTCTGTCCGAGGGTTGAGGCATCTCAGAGATGGCTTTTACTTTATTAGGGTCAGGCCTCATACCGTTTTTATCAAAAATATGACCCAAGTAGGTAACTTCTTCAACTGCTATTTTGCATTTCTTTTTATTAAATTTTAAATTAATTTCCCTAGCTCTTTTTAACAATGCAATTAGTCTCCTATCGTGTTCATGCTTGTTTCGTCCCCAGACAATTATATCATCTATAAAACTGTCTGTACCCTCTAAATCCTCTAAAAGCTGCCTCATTTTCGCGTGAAATACTTCGGAAGAGCAGTTAATACCGAACGGTAAGCGAAGAAATTGATATCGACCGAACGGTGTGGCAAATGTACACAAGTCTGCACTCTGTTCATCCAGTTGTATAGCCCAAAAACCTGAGTTGGCGTCTAAGACCGAAAAGAAGCGCGCTCCGTGTAGCCGCGCTGCGAGCACTGACACAGTGGGCAATTGGAAATGCGCGCGCTGCACTGCACGGTTAAGTTCTCGTGGGTCTAAGCACACGCGAATTCCATTGTCCTTTTTTGCGACTAGAACTAGTGGATGCACCCATTGAGTTGGATGAGAAACTTTCCTTATTATACCTTGGTTTTCCATATTTTTAAGCTCATCTGCTAGACGTTCACGTAAACTTAACGGAATCTTTCGAAGAGTAGAAATCACCGGAGGTATGGATTCGTCTAAAACAATATGATACTTTCCTGGAAGGCACCCAATACCGCTAAATAAGTCATCGTAGTCTGATATATTAATTTCATGAATTCGCTTGACTAACCCTAACTTCTCACACGACTGTCGCCCCAGCACGCTTTGACAACGCAAATCGGCTATCGCAAACTTTAAATCATAACGAACATTTTTATAAAAACATTGTAGATAACAAACGCCTCTTACTGGTATTATATTACCGCTATACGACTCTAATTTAATACGATCACTTTTTATCATATTGGAATCAAAACCCAGTTGCAAAAATCTTTCAAAAGATATAACATTTATATCCGCCCCCGTGTCTAATTTAAAGTTTTCGATACCCTTCTCAAAAGTTAATGTTTCAAACCAACCATCTGAACAATCTTCTTGACCACTAATGGTTGATATAAAAAACGATTCACAATCAAAAGAACGCGTGACATCTTGATTTTGTTCAATGTCATGTACATGTTTTACACCGGCCTTATTATTTAAATTTTGCCTACATACCCGCGCAAAATGACCTTGTTTACCACAAGTGAAACATGTGGCGTAAACGGCCGGACATCGAGGCGTTGCACAGCGCTCGACTCCACAGCGCGGGCAGCGCAGCGCTTGCAGCGCGGTGCCCCGCGAGGCGCGCCCGGCGCCTGTGTGCTGCGCGTCGCGTCGTCCTCTCCCTTGTTTGACACTATCTACCTGCACTACACTAGCATACACACCAGCACCACTAGCACTTAGTTGACGGCTACTCTCTTGCGAAATTTCTTCGGCCTGGCACAACTTCACCGCTTTGTCCAGGTCTAGGTCCTCACATCTGAGCAAACGGTCCCTGACTATTGTGCTGTTCACACCACAAACAATTCGATCCTTGATCAGCTCTTCTTCTAAAGTTGCAAACTTACAATTTTTACTCAATAACCGCAATGACGTAACATACTGCTGTATGTTTTCACCTTCTTCTTGATTACGCGTGAAAAACTTGTATCTCAGCAATGTAATATTAATTTTAGTTCCAAAATATTCATCAAATTTACTCAAAATTATTTGCACATCATCACGATCATCTTCTTTAGTGAATGTAAAAGTTTGATAAATGTCGAATCCTTCTGAACCAATTAGATTGATAAGTAAACTTGCCTTTACTGCTGATGTCTCCGAGTGCACACCCAAAGCTTTCATAAATAACACGAATTGTTGTCTCCACCTCTTCCAAGCATCAGTCCTGCTGACGGGTCCGCCTTCTAACTGTAATTCGCTAGGTGGCCGCGCGTGCTCCATTGTTAATTGGAGCACTCGTTATAATAATCTCTGAATAGAATTATCCGCGGTTCACAACTTCCCAAAATATTATACTATACATATGTATGTTGCAAAATATTCTATTGATGTACTCGATTTTAAACATTTACTATGCCTATAACCCCACACCTGACACCATGTTGTGATTGCAATAATACACGTTCGTTAGCGAGACAACAACTGATTTATTATATGGCATAACTACCTAAGTTTACAATAACACAAATACCCACAACAGAGATTATAACGCGCGAGACACACCCGTTGGCACTTAACGCTATCGTACGTAGCCATTATATGGACGACTATTTAGACGGTAGAGGAAGCGGTAAATACGGCGAAGCAGGTTTCGGAAGTACACCGGAAGGCCGGTGAAACCCTTGGCAGGCTGGAATTCTAATCACGCAGCCCTATTGGAGGACAAGCCGGAGGAATTACTGGCGCGCAAGCCTAAGGAAGTAGGCTTAAGGCAAGACAGCCCAGGCAGAACCCTAGGGTTGTTATGGATGGCCGACGAAGACGCCCTAACTTTCAACACATCGATGAATAGGGTGCCGCAGGAAGTGAAGGCGCTACACCGACCACCGACCAAGAGGGAAGCATTAAGCGCAGTTATGTCTGTGTTTGACCCGCTCGGACTGCTAAGCCACCTCACCATCACCGCCAAGATCCTGCTACAAGACCTATGGCGTATGAAGAAGGTCGGATGGGATGACGAACTATCCGAGGAGGCAGCAGAAGAATTTCAGAGGTGGCTGCGAGTCGTCGAGGAGGTGTCACGACTACGACTGCCAAGGTGCTATGCTCCTACGGGGGGAGTGGTAGAGCGTCAACTTCACGTGTTCAATGATGCAAGCGAACGTGCGTACGCATCCGCGGCATATTGGCGTATACGATATAGCGACGGAACGGTTATGGTGCGATTAGTGGCGACTAAGGCGAAAGTCGCTCCAATCAAAGCGCAAAGTATTCCGCGATTAGAGTTGCAGGCGAACTTAATAGGCACGCGACTCGCGGAATTCGTGCAAGGCGAACACAGAGTGGTAGCGGATAGGGTCGTATATTGGACGGACTCTACTACGGCGCTCCACTGGATACAGAATGATACGGCGCGTTACACTCCATACGTGGCTCACCGGTTAGGGGAGATAGCTGAGAAGACATCACCCGAGCAATGCAGGTGGATACCGACTGCGGAAAACGTAGCGGATCAAGCAACGCGTATGAATTTCGCAACCAAGGAAGAAAGCGATAAGTGGTTTACAGGACCACCCTTCCTCTACGAGAACGAAGACAGATGGCCCCACCGACAGGAAGAGACGGCAGGGGACGATGAAGAGTTGGAGGAAATCGTGGCGCACCAGAGCGACACCCAGGAAGCTCCACACCTGCCAGACATAGAGCGATTCTCTGCCTACGAGAGATTAATCAGGGCCACAGCGCGAGTACTACAGTTCGTCGATACGGCACGAGGATGGGCACGATGATTGACATTGCAGCACATCCAGAGGGCAGAGCGGATGTGGATAGAACATAGCCAACGTGAAAGCTTCGCTGAAGACATCAGCCGCCTTCAGCGGGGAAGGAATTTGGCCACCGGCAGCGCACTGACGAAGCTCGACCCCATATTGGAAGATGAAGTGCTACGAGCCAGGGGAAGGATCGACGCAGCCGACGTGGACGGCCAAATGAAGAGACCCATCATACTGAACGGGCGCCACCAATTCGTAAAACTGCTTGTGGAGAAGGCGCATCAGGAAGCAAGCCACGCCAACAGAGAGAGAGTGGTGAACGACCTGCGCACTAGGTTTCATATCCTCCGATTACGACCTACCGTACGAGAAGCTGAGCGGAGATGCCTACGGTGCAGAGTACGGAAGGCGACACCACGTCCTGCGGTTACAGGAGATTTACCACCCGAATGGTTAGGGGCGTTTGCGCGACCATTCACGTACACCGGAATTGATTACTTCGGGCCTCTGACAGTTACGATAGGACGACGGCACGAAAAACGGTGGGTGGCACTATTCACGTGCCTAACGACGCGCGCAGTGCATTTAGAAGTAGTATACTCTCTGACCGCGGACTCGGCGATATCGGCATTGCGGCGCATGGCGGCTAGACGTCGGTGGCCACGGGTTGTTTACACCGACAATGGTACAAACTTTCATGG